CGATGTTTACGAATAGCACCAAATGGAGAATTATTCGCAGCAGTTGGGGCCGATCGGCGTATCCGAATTTTTGATTTTCTGACGGGGAAGATGACAGTGGTGATTGATGAAACGCTACAGTCTTACATGGATCGGGCGAAACAGAACAAGTATTGCTTAAACTTTTTCACAAAATTAGTGAGCAAATGGATTATGTGATTCCGTTCGATTGGGAATTTCAACTTTTTTTGTCTCAAAACAATCTGATTTTCATAAAGGCGAATGAGAATACAAAGTTCGTCCGGATAGTCGAAATGGGGATCTCATACTAGCTTCAATAGTAGAATTATATTGTTTGCATGACGCAGTTGTGTCATGCCTCTTCAATTTCGGGCTGCTCGTCTCCTGTTACTGCTTACCACCCTTTCGAAGCGCCGTCTCTCCCAAAAATTGCTGATGCAGTGGAATACATCAAATTGTTAAATTTTGCGAGATTTTTAGCACCTCGAACCTCTCATCAGCTTCCTCCCCACTATTACTGTTAGCATGGAACTAAGCAAGACCAAAAGGCATTAAAAAAAATGCAGCTCTATTCTAGAAATTACGGTCTGCAAAATATGGAATGGAATCGGCGAGTTGCACTGGAAAAAGAATTGGACCGCGATGAGAACACTTTCCAGCATTTATCAATTTGTTTCGATGAGACCAGTAACTTCCTGATATATCCAACCCCAATTGGAATCAAAGTAAGCGTGTGTCATCTACCACTGATTCGTTTTTCGCGAGATTACAAACTGTTTTCAATATCTTTTTGCCTCCGAGGAGTCTGTGGAAAAGAACCATCGACAGTTTTGTTATTCGTTCTTGAAAATTTGTTATCGCTCGAACTAATTCCGCGTGTCTCGGCCTGACGTGGGTGAAAGGGTTTTTGACTTTTGTTTGATTGTTTTTGATAAATAGCCACAATGAGATGCGCTAGTTTTCAAGGGGATCTAAGCTTGATGGCACAGCTTGGTCACTTTCATTATATTCTTAATGATAGTTGCTAGAAATAGCCGAAAATGTAAAAATTGGGAAGCAAAAAGACGGAGATGCTGATCGGCAACTGCGGAGAAAATGTAACCAGGTTGCCACATATTTTTAAAATTTTCCATGCTCCTAATCTGTGTGCAAGTGCCGTGTTT